TTTTATAGGCAGAAGGGTTCGTGTGTCAACAAGTTTCAAGTTACAACCATATAAGGAAGTTCCCCCTAGCTCTGAAAGGGGCCTTCTATAATCTCAACATACCTTTGACAGGTCCGTTAAACACTAGACAGTTAGAATCCTTTAGTGATATAAGTTTGCACATGGTAGAATACTGCATGTAGTTATTTGCATTAGGAAATGTTTAACCATATATACCTAGAGGCACACAATCAATTGTGTGTGATCTTTAGCAGGCTGCAAGCTTGGTGTGCACGTCCTGTGAGCATGAGAGCTTGCACCTTGTCCCATTGTTCCACGGCAGGATCAACGCAGAAATGCCTTCTTTACATATAGATCAACTGTTGGATTTTCCAGACCAGCAGGCCAAGGAAAGTCGCCCATGGGGTCACAGCAAGAGGAGATGAGGTTCAAACAAAGGGCATTGCAGAAACAGGGTCCTTTGTATAATATCATCAAAAACAATACTCAGCAAATGCTACCATGGTATCAAGATATCACAACAGTTACAGTTACTAACAAGAAAATGTGGCCCGTTACTATTTTTCAACAAACAGACGGTTGAAGCTGTGTTCAGCTTACCGCATCAGTTGCAGGCAAGTAGCTGTAAGTAATCTGGGCGCTACAGCTTTAAGCAGCTGCGCGCTCCCATGGACGGTAATCACGATCACTGTCTAGCACTAGCGTCTAACACCTGGAGCTCAGGGGGGCAAAACAATCGCGTGAGTGCTGCTGTTTGACTGAGGAAGAATAAAGTAGTCGTGGTAAGTCAATCACATGACCACTTAAAGACAAAGCAACAAGGTGATAGATACCAGTTTGTAAACTGTGTTGATAGGCCACGTAAAACCAGAGCCATGATAAACAATACGCTGCGTTTTTTCCTCAATAATTTCGTCACGTTTACTGTCGGCAACCTGCGGCTCTTTAGTCCTCAGAACCTGCGGCTCTGCGTGGTTTGGGAAAATAAATTAGAAGTATTTAGCTGAAGTGTAATTTATTTATGTTAGTTCTTTTTTTAACTTGTAGTTCTAAATTGGAAGATTATTGTGATATTGAAATAGAAAAATAAAATTATATTTTATTTTTCTATTATTTTTTCATCGCTCAAAATAAGCGTCACACTTGCGGAAGCCAATTATGGATCTTCGGATCCACATTATGTCAGCAGCTGTTCTCCACCGTGAACTATGTTAAAAACAAACACCGCTCACGTCTCACAGCTTACAGTTCTGCGTGAAGATGAAAGTGACTTCGTACAGCCCCGATTTGCAGACGCTGTGCGCAGAGGTTCAGGAGCAGAAGTCTTATTGTAAACGGCAGACCCGACGATGTTTACATGAACTCGCTTTTCAGCATCTCTTTATTGACCACTTTTCACACACGGTTGCTGTACGCATACAGCCGGCTGTAGCTTTTCAGCTCACAGCCCGACACACACCAACACAACAGCAGAGAGAGCACAGACGTTAAGGCGGCGAGGCGTGATTGCTGGTGCCGCTCAGGTGCGTCCGCCTCACCTACAGTGGCGCTGCAGACTGCGCTCCGCCAGACACACTAAACCCTGGTAAAATATATATTTAAAAATTCTATTATGAATAATAATATATTATTATTATTATCTATTATATATAATAATATAATAATATATTATTCATCTTTTAGCAGCATAGTGTTTTTGTTCCAATTATTTTTTAAAAGTCAGGTCAAGGCTCCAACAGCCCAAAGGCGATATAAGGGTGGCGGCTCACAACAGTTTTGTTTGCTGGATCATTTTAGTTCAGCATCTTTCCTTTTGTTATATCTCTTTAAGAGTTCAAAATGTGTTAATTACATAAATAAAATGTAATTTTCTCTGTAGCACTTCATGGATTTCATAAGCAGCACACCTTAGTTGTTCACACAAAGCATAAAAAGTAAAAAACAATCTATACAGTGTTATCTTCATTTTAGATGTCACAAATATTTGTGGCTCCCAGTGTTTTCTTTTGCGTGGAAACTGGGTCCAAATGGCTCTTTGGGTGTTAAAGGTTGCAGACTAGCAAGCATTCTCTGCTTATGAGCAAAACAAAAAACAAAAACAGGGGAAGTTTTAGGAGTGAGGGCGAGAGAGAGAGAGTTTAGAGATGTGAGAGATTTGTGATGTTTAGCATGTTTTGAGTGTGTAGTTAATGTGTTGTCTGTGTAGTTAGTGTGTAGTGTGTGGATAGTTTTGTGTTGTGTGTCAGAACAATGAGGCGACTGCTGTCTCCAGGTAGAAACAGCAGTGATACACCTGCTGCTGTCAGACCTGCAGGTATCAGGCTGTGATGTTCTCCTTTATAGTGGACAGAAATTATGTTTTTGGAGTGGCACAAATAATTTGTGGCATCTTATTGAAGAACAGCTGATTGTTCTGTAAATAGTTTGAAATGGTTATTTAAAAAAGGGGTAAAAGGTAAATTTATGCAAATAACTATTGTTTGCAAAACTTGTGCATAGGATTTTAAAATTGACAATTTATATTTGCATTTAAAGTTATGAAATATCATCATTAAACATATTTGTGGTTGTTACAGTAAAAAATATCACTTTTTCTACTCTGATTTTATGTTTTTTGTCTGATTTTAGATCAATTGTGTTAATACAGTATATCAACATGAAAACATAACTGTAGATTCAGACACGTGAGGTTGTGCTGAAAAGAATGATACCAAACAAGGCAAAGTAAAGAGTTTTTAGGGGTAAAATATAGAGGGAGAATCAAAAGTAGTTAAAAATGGGCAATTATACCCTGGACCCCTTAAACGTTTTTTGTTTTTTTTTAAGTAACGCAATAGTTACTTTTCAAGTAATTAATTACTTTTAGAATTTGTAACTCAGTTATTAACTCAGTTACTTTTTTGAAGAAGTAACTAGTAACTATAATTAATTACTTTTTCAAAGTAACTTGCCCAACACTGCTGATATGTAGCCGACACAGCGATGAAACAGACCTCCTGTGATACTGTGGAGAAAGACTACGAGTAGCAGCTGTGAGCAGCGTCACCTGCAGGTAGATGAGCTGATCTCAGTGCTGACACGTGTTGACACATGCTAGTGTTTCTAAGACAAATGACTTTAGTCGTAAACACAAGAGACAGACAGGGGGCGTAACTGATGCCTGACCAGCTTCAAACTTTGTCCACCAACAGGATGGTGTTGGAGGATGGAGGATTCTGTTAATTATATCCCAGCTACAATTATCACAGAGACAAGCAACTTAATATAAAATGTTTTGCAATAACAAGTTTATATTCTGAAATAGATGTATCACATGAATGAATCATTAAGAGGTTAGGAATCCACCACTATCGCTGTACAAATAGAGGAAGAAACAGACTCAGAGGAAGAGGGCGGGCTTTACTTGGTGTCAGTGAGAGAAATGAAAAAAAGCTCAAATGAGTGAGAAGGACGATGAAGGAAACATCTGTGCTGTGTCTGCTCTGTAAGTAGAATCTCTGTGTTTGTTTGAATTCTTGTACTTTGACTGTCTGCTCTCCTGATAACTGATGATGGAGGAGAAGACATGAAAAACAAATCAGGCTGAATTCAAGTTCAAAACACCACGAGGACCAACTGCAGGTCTGAAGTTTAACAGAGTTACTGATGAATTTATGAGTGAAAAGCTGAAATAAAATGTTGGTGTTTGTGTGAACAGAGCAGAGGACAGACCTTAGTTCAGTACTAGTTGTTTGTATGTATTCAGTGTAACTATAATGTAACTTGAAGGACTTCCTTGTTCTACAGTAACTCCAGAAGCAGCTCATGAAGCATGAAATGATGTGATCAGTTTTATTTAATAATTCTGATCATCGAGAAGTTGAAATTGAAATCCTGGAGTCTCTGGTTTAGTACGAGCAGCTTTTTGCTGACCTGGTTTAGATCCACGTTTCCTCTGACAGGAAGATCAAACTGGGCTGTAGGCGACACAACATGAAGAGTTTGTTTCTGTCTTAGAGGGAAACATCAAATAATACAAAGTTGTTCTGAGTGATCACCTTTGTGTGTTTATGTCGAATCAACCTGAGTGTTGTTTCTCTTTAGTTCTGATCTCACTGCTGAGCTGCACAACAAACCAAGGTCAGTAACCTTCTTCTGTCACAGTTTAAACCTGATAAACTCTGACAGGTTTCACACATTTGGATTAAAACTTTCAGTAAAGATCTCAAAGACGTGATCATCAGTTTTTCATTTTAACCCTCACAGCTCGACTGACTGTGAGTCCCAGCAGCTCTCAGTTCTTTAAAGGAGACTTTGTGTCTCTGAGCTGTGAGGAGGACGACAGCTCTGCTGGATGGACTCTGAGGAGAAACACAAGCAAACGACAGAGGACTCAGTGTGGAGATGGGTGGGGAGAAGGTGCTGGTTCTTCCTGTAACATGACTATGATGGTGCCTCATGACAGTGGAGTTTACTGGTGTGAGTCCAGAGAGGGTCCCATCAGTAACATGGTTAACCTGACAGTCCCTGGTAAGCTGAGTGTGTGGAGTTAGTGTTGATGAAGCTGTGTGTAAATGGATGAAATGCTGTAGTTTGTCTCTGTGTTGAGGTGGATCAGTGATCCTGCAGAGTCCTGTCCTCCCTGTGATGGAGGGAGATGATGTCACTCTGCTCTGTAAAACAAAGACCACTCCCTCCAACCTCCCAGCTGCTTTCTATAAAGATGGCTCCCTCATCAGGAAGCAGCCTACAGGTCACATGACCATCCAGCATGTTTCCAGGTCTGATGAAGGCCTCTACAAGTGTGACATCAGCGGTCATGGAGAGTCTCCATCCAGCTGGATCACTGTCACAGGTGACACACTCACCTGTCTGTGTTTCTGCAGCTTTCAACATTCACAATGTGACGACAACTTAATGACTGTGTTTGCTTTATTTTAGGGGAACACACCACCACACCTCCTCCTACATCCACACCTCCACCTACATCCACACCTCCTCCTTCACTCTCTCCTCCATCACTCTTTCCTCCTGTTTTCTCTGTATTGTCTGTTGGATCAGTCTTTCTTGTGGTTCTACTGGTGTTACTGGTTCTGCTGGTGAGACAAGATGTTGAGAGGAAAGTTGAAGGTGAGACTTTTGTAAATTTACATTTTACGCACACTTCAATGTCTCCAAATGTAGACGTTTTCTTAGATTAAAGGACCATTTAGATGATTTTACAGTAAAATATTTTTGCTATTAAATTTGAAAATGTCAGCAGATGAAGGTAAAGCTGCAGAGCATCAGTCGTGCCAGTAAAACAAAGCAGAGGTGATATTTATGGATTTTACAGATTTGAGAAGCATTCTTTTTATACTCTTTGGGAAGTAAGAACATTTAATAATTTAACATTGAGCACATTTGTAAATACATTCTGACATCTGTGTTGCACTGTGGTGCAGTAGATGGGTTTGATTCCAGCAGCTGACTGCTTCTGTCTGTGTGGAGTTTCTTAGCGTGTTCTCCCTGTGACTGAGTGGGTTCTCTCCGGGTACTCCAGCTTCTCCCACAGTCCAGGAAATGTTTTTGTGTGTTAGAAGACAACTGACACGTGTGTGAGTCAGCGTTCACTGTTCTGTGTCAGCTAGTTCAACAGTGCAGCTCACTGATGTGTTGTAGCATGAATAAAATATCTCAGTTGTTTGATTCAAATGAGACTTGTCTACATTTTCTTAGAACCACGTGTGGTTGCGAACAATGATGTAGGTCCACCGCTTATGAACCAGTCTGGATGTGTTCAGATTGTTTCCTATAGGAAACAATCTGAACACATCCAGCATCACAGATGCTAACAGAGTATACTCTGTTAGCATCTGTGATGCTGGATGGCTAATTGTCATACAGGTTTTAAATTATTAACCTTTAATATCATGATTTTTGGGCCACATCTGGATCACAGAGTATTTGGCAGTGCAGTAGCGGCACATATGAGGCCCAGATGTGGTTCACAAACAAGTGGTTGAGATGAGACACATAAAGAGGCCAAAGATCATCAAATGTGTGTTTTCAGCCTCTCAAATGGTTCTTTAGTTAAAGCTTCATTTCTAAAGCTCTGCATGTAAAACACAGAAGCAACATGCTGCTGACAACCGCAGTTAGTCTGAACCTGGTGAGAATTCTCACTGCACCGGGTTTTTCGAGCTTGTGGTGAGGCTTCTCAGGCTGCACTGAAAGAAGCTTCGTGGACGCCACCTTCCTGTTCACACAAACTCATGGCCGTTCTGTCGGTCATTCATTGGTTCACAGCAGAGGTGCTGAGAGAAGAAAAAAGGTGTGAATGGCTTCTGCATTTTTTAAATTCAACACTCACTCTCTGCAAGATGCAGTTTTAAAAACTGTGTTTTGACACAGCTGTGCTGCAGTAATTAAAATGTTTAATTCTTCAGAGAGTGATGCAGTTCATACCAGTTATGAACAAACAGCGTTCAGATCGAACAGACCGAGATGTGCAGTTGCTCTTCTCATTTAACTTTTAAAAGAGTCTTTAATTCTCCTTGCAGTCACTGAGTGACATCATGACTCAGGTTCAAGCTTAGATCAGACCTGTGGATGATATTAAACTGAGATATAAATAAAAGCCAGCCTGTCCTTTAAAGAGATATGAACAACACAGTCACTTATAGATTTGCTCTAAAGAGGAAGCAGCTAAACAACTTCCTTTCTGTCTTTAAATGTTCCTCTCACACACAAGACTAAGCAGCCTTTCAGCTGTAGATAAAGATGAACCATTTTGAACAGTGAATAATACAAAGCAGCTCTGGTAGAGCTCATGTAATATATATCTATCTATCTATCTATCTATCTATCTATCTATATGTATAGCTATATGTATATGTATAGATATATATATATATATATCTATATATATATATATATATATATATATAGATATATAGATATACAGTGGGGCAAAAAGTATTTAGTCAGCTACCGATTGTGCAAGTTCCCCCACTTAAAATGATGACAGAGGTCAGTAATTTGCACCAGAGGTACACTTCAACTGTGAGAAACAGAATGTGAAAAAAAAATCCATGAATCCACATGGTAGGATTTGTAAAGAATTTATTCGTAAATCAGGGTGGAAAATAAGTATTTGGTCAATAACAAAAATACAACTCAATACTTTGCAACATAACCTTTGTTGGCAATAACAGAGGTCAAACGTTTACTATAGGTCTTTACCAGGTTTGCACACACAGTAGCTGGTATTTTGGCCCATTCCTCCATGCAGATCTTCTCGAGAGCAGTGATGTTTTGGGGCTGTCGCCGAGCAACACGGACTTTCAACTCCCGCCACAGATTTTCTATGGGGTTGAGGTCTGGAGACTGGCTAGGCCACTCCAGGACTTTCAAATGCTTCTTACGGAGCCACTCCTTTGTTGCCCGGGCGGTGTGTTTTGGATCATTGTCATGTTGGAAGACCCAGCCTCGTTTCATCTTCAAAGTTCTCACTGATGGAAGGAGGTTTTGGCTCAAAATCTCACGATACATGGCCCCATTCATTCTGTCCTTAACACGGATCAGTCGTCCTGTCCCCTTGGCAGAAAAACAGCCCCATAGCATGATGTTTCCACCCCCATGCTTCACAGTAGGTATGGTGTTCTTGGGATGCAACTCAGTATTCTTCTTCCTCCAAACACGACGAGTTGAGTTTATACCAAAGAGTTCTACTTTGGTTTCATCTGACCACATGACATTCTCCCAATCCTCTGCTGTATCATCCATGTGCTCTCTGGCAAACTTCAGACGGGCCTGGACATGCACTGGCTTCAGCAGCGGAACACGTCTGGCACTGCGGGATTTGATTCCCTGCCGTTGTAGTGTGTTACTGATGGTGACCTTTGTTACTTTGGTCCCAGCTCTCTGCAGGTCATTCACCAGGTCCCCCCCGTGTGGTTCTGGGATCTTTGCTCACCGTTCTCATGATCATTTTGACCCCACGGGATGAGATCTTGCGTGGAGCCCCAGATCGAGGGAGATTATCAGTGGTCTTGTATGTCTTCCATTTTCTGATGATTGCTCCCACAGTTGATTTTTTCACACCAAGCTGCTTGCCTATTGTAGATTCACTCTTCCCAGTCTGGTGCAGGTCTACAATACTTTTCCTGGTGTCCTTCGAAAGCTCTTTGGTCTTGGCCATGGCGGAGTTTGGAGTCTGACTGTTTGAGGCTGTGGACAGGTGTCTTTTATACAGATGATGAGTTCAAACAGGTGCCATTCATACAGGTAACGAGTGGGGGACAGAAAAGCTTCTTACAGAAGACGTTACAGGACTGTGAGAGCCAGAGATTTTCCTTGTTTGAGGTGACCAAATACTTATTTTCCACCCTAATTTACGAATAAATTCTTTACAAATCCTACCATGTGGATTCATGGATTTTTTTTTTCACATTCTGTCTCTCACAGTTGAAGTGTACCTCTGGTGCAAATTACTGACCTCTGTCATCATTTTAAGTGGGGGAACTTGCACAATCGGTGGCTGACTAAATACTTTTTTGCCCCACTGTATATATCTCATATAAGATAAAGAGCAGGATTTTGGTCTGAGTGCAGCACAAACTTGAAACAAAATCAACCAAATAAAAAGCAAACATCTGTGTCTCAGTCCAGATGTTTGCTTTGGTACACCACATGCATACATGTACTGGTAGTTGTGTCTCCAGTCAAACAATGGAAAGTGTGCACTTTACTGGACTAAACGCCTGCAGCATTTCACTGTGTATGTGGTATTCAGGGAAGGAACTTTCAAACTTCTCTTGCAAGTGTCTGTTTATCCAGGCTAGGGGCCAGTATTATGAAGACTGGGGCCAGTGGGATTATGTTAAATGTCTGTTATACTGACTACTGCAGTTTCTCAACATTCAGAGATGCATTCAGAAAGCAGTCCTACATATTTGTTTAATATGTGCATTGAAGGACGGCTTTATGTCTTTAAGACATTCCTGCAGTTTAACTAATTGGTGTGTGTTATCTGGCTACATGGACAGATAAAGCAACTCTGTTTCATTTTGCAGAGACTGATACAGCTGTGGTCTACTCAGCAGTAAGAGCTGAAGACATCAGGAATGGACAAACAACCATCAGAACAAGGCCATCCAGGTCTTGCTGCCTTTTAACAGAAACAAGGTGGCTGTCACTCTGTTTCCAGCAATCATGCTAAGCTAAGCTAATATAACCAAATTAAACTAGATCATCTAGAATACGCTCTCATTAGCATAGCGTTGCACCAGGGCAACAGAAAGTTTCTTTAAGCCTCTTATCCAGTACATGTGAACTTAAATGATGCCAACCAACCTGAGTGTTTGGAAAAGTTCAATAACATGTAGGAAGCTTGGTCCTTTAAGGGTGAAGCCTGATGGGAAATGTATCCGGTTGTTCAGTCTGACGTCACTAGCCGTGTCTGGGCCTAAACTCCGCTGCAGGTCCATATATCAAACGATCAGTATGGCATTACTGAGAGTTGAAAAACTGTCTAAAGTCTTTCATCTTTAATAAAATGATCAGCGTTCTGCTCTACCAGGTGTAACAATTGAGTTTAACATCCAGGCATCCATGAAAACGGAATTTATGACATTTAACGGAGTTAGAAGTTAGCAGGGAGTTAGCTTGCTAGCTTCTATCTAAATACAATATAGCATGTCCTGACTGCAGGGTTTTGGAAACAAATTAAAACGTACAGCTTTCTTATCACTTCCAGCATAAATGAAGACAGAAAACTAAACAGCAGTGACGTTTGTAGGGTTACTGAAGTTGGGCTAGCTGGTATATAAGGATGTGCTACGTGACCGCTAGCGACATAGCTATGTTAGCATAATATAAACAAGCTAACTTTTTTTCCACTCGATAAAAGTTAACGTGAGTTTTCTCGGTGGTCAGAAACAAATGTAATCGCATGGCAGGATGCTGTATAAGGACCAAACTTCAGCCAGGAGAACAACTGAGATAATCCACCCACAATACGAGGTTAGTCATTCATATACTGCTGCATGGGCTGGGCTGTAGTTACATCCCAAGGTTTTAAAAACTGAGCTTAAATAAATGATTAGCGGTAATAAAAGCCGAGGTAGGTCAACAGTGATCGCTGACTGTTTTAGGAGCTTTTTGAGATTAAATAGAAGAAAATACAAAACATTAAACATGTTAACAACACAAAAGCCACATTAAATGCAGGCTACTTTAGACCCGGAAGTAGGATCCGTCGCGTCATCACTGAACAACCGGATTGGGGGTGTGTGTAGCGGGAGTGCCTGTGGGTGTGTGTCAGCTTTCTACGCCAGAGACGTGTGGATGAGCAAATGTTGCCAATTAGGGGCAAGAGTAAATTCAAGCAGTACCTGCCCAGTAAATCTAGAAAACAGGGTTTCGGAATATTGCTGGATTATTTCAGTTCAGTTCAATTTTATTTACACAGTGTCAAAACACAGCAATTCACACAGTTGTGAAATTTACATTGGGTTGCTGTGCAACCAAGCTTGGGCCAAGTGGAAATGTGGTCCTAAACTTGGAATTACACAAAGTCCAAATCCAAAAAAGAAAGCAAGAAGAGAGAATGAAACAGTAGTGGGGTATATGTAAAGAGAAGTGGAAGAAGCAGAGACCCAGAGTTCTCATTCAAAATCAGATTGAGACATTATAATATAATATATCACTCTGGCCAACAACATATTCACCAACCCCATCACCCAGCTGGTCCTGAAGATGGCCGTCCCTCCCTGAGTCCGGTTCTGCTGGAGCTTTCTTCCTGTGAAAAGGGAGTTTTCCCTTCCTACTGCAGCCAAGTGCTTGCTTATAGGGAGTCATCTAATTGTCAGGGTTTTCTCTACATTGTTGAATGGTCATTACATTACAATATATACCACCTTGAGGCAATTGTTCTTGTGATTTGGGGCAATGCAAATAAAAGTGAAGTGAATCAAACAGGGCATGGTGCAGGGTTCCTGAGTGGACATCTGTTTTACAGCACAGAGGAACTTTTTGGGAAAGTTTCACACAGAATAAAAACAATGTCTCAAACCATGAGAATCAGTATGACATGATACTGTACTATTCAAACCTGAGTCTGTATCATGTTATATAAGTAAACGCGTTTTAAGTGTTTTTTTATGTTTTTATTCCTTAACCACAGTTGTGTAATGATGTGTGAGTTATAATTTCTCTGTTGTTTCTTTAGGGGATTTCTGAAATATAACATTTTTCTTTTGGCAATATAATTACCCAAAATTAGTGAGATGTTGAATAATTTTCAGCATGTACCGTCAAAATGTGTGCAGTAGAGGGTTTAAATGAAAAATATGAAGCAGGAAATGAGAAGAGTGAATCTACTTCAGATGTAAAGATTCAGTTTCTGTTATATCATGTTAGATTTAAACAGAGAGGGAAAAAAGTGGAGACAGAGCTTGTGAATGTCGTGAAGCACAATCGTGAATCAGATTGTTTGAACTGTGTGTGTTTGTGTTCAGACTTTAAACCAGAGCCAGACGTCGTCTACTCTTCACTGAAGTAGTCCACCAGTCCAACCACTGACGTCCAGCTGCTGGTTTCTAACTGGTCCCCCCAGCACCTCAGACCACAGGACATGTTTGAAGATTTCTTCATATTTTTCATATTTTTTATGTTGTTTTTTTCACTTTCTAGACCAAAATGACTCAAATGCAAAATTTTGTTATGTTACTATGTCCCATGTCCTCGGTAACTGGTTGGAATTGTTGTAGTTCATTCATGATTGTTGGCTCTTGTTTCCCGTCAGTGATCTGTTTTCACTGGTTTTCTTCATGTGCTTCTGTGGGTTTCAAAAAACTGTCACATGGAAAATCTGACTAGTGTGATTGTTGCTAACACACACACACAGCTTTAATGCAGAAAGCAAAGAATAAACGTTAAACTACAACCACAGACTGAACACAGCAGAAGCATCATTCAGTGGCCGCAGAAAACCTTCATGATGTTTGTGTTTGATGCTGCAGAGTTTTTATTTCAGGTTCAGGGCCCTATTTCAGGAAGCCGGTTTAGAAAACTCAGAGTGAAAAACGATACTCAGGGTTGAGTAACCCCGAACTGTCCAACTCGGAATATTCGGTTTCAGAAAGGCTGATAACAATTAGTTCAGTCAACGCGGAGTTGCTTTAACCCCAAGTGAAGCGCGCGGACGAGGATACATAAAGCCCTGATAAGCGGAGCACAGATTAAGCGAGTCACCATGGAGACGGAGGGAAAGAAGGCGTGGTCAATGTATTTTACAGCGCTTGAGGCCGAAATTCTGATGGCAGTATATGCCGATAACACGCAAATTCCGCGGAAAAAAGTAACACAGCCTCAGCTGCGAAAGACAGGGAGCATGCATGGCAAAACATAGCCGACAGAGTCAATGCGTGAGTGTTAATTTAAACATTGATCTAGGGATTTCCACCCATTTAACACGTTATTTTAATATATTTTATTTTATTTTATACATTTTATTTCCTGATGTGATGTGAGCGCAGGTGCAACCCAACAGGCCCCAAACGTGCCTGGCAGCAAGTAAAAATGAAATATAAAAATATAGTCCAAACAGGTAAGGTGTAATTGTATTATGAGCCATAGTGCTTGGTCTGTTTGTCCGATGTAAATCAATTGCAGTTAGAGGCTACATTAATTTTCTTTCTGTAAGCACTTATTGAAATTATCTGAGCACATTACAAGTACATATTTGCTTACTCTGTATGCTCAAATGTGGCCCGTTATAGCCAACAGAAAAAAAGCGGAGGCCCGAAAAACAGGTGGGGTCCTCCACCACCACCACTCACAGAGGCTGAGCAGTTGGCCCTCAGCCAAAACAGTGGGCGCCCTGTGGCCGAAGGCATCTCTGCGGGGACATCCTCTGAGTCAATAACCCCGCAAGACACAAGTGCCTACATAAGGGGTAAATTCAAAATAATACATGATGTGCATACATCCTTTCTTCACAGTCACCTTTGCAGTGCTACTCATTCATTTGATAAACTCTTTACCATAATGGATTATTTTGTAGTGAAGTTATTTTCCTACTGATTTTGCCTTCCCTCAGTCTTGGTTGTCTTTGAGAGCATAATGACAATGAAGTGTAAGGTGATTGGTATGTTTGTTAATTGCCATTTGGTCCCTTGTAAGTTATAAGTGACCTGTATAAACCTCATATTCTATCAGTTGATGGTGATGGTGTACTGCATCTGGTGCAGCCTCCTGTTGAGCCAGACCAACATGCAGTTGTGAGTAATACTCCACAGATTATATGAGTGTACAGTAGAACAGCAATGTTGTTTATTTCTTTACTACAGGAAAATAATGAAGAAACATTGACAGCTGTTACAGAGGAGGAAGCAACAGAGACACTTTATGAGGTTTACATCTTTTAATACTTTGTGTACAGGAAATACAGGCGACCAATAAAGCCAGTTGAACAAAAAATCTGTTTATTCTTCTTTCAACATGTTGAGGTGATGGGTCAAAGGAAATGATTGTGACATATGGTGTCTCTGACTGCGCTTCCATCTTGTATGTCCGTGGGAGGGTCAGGATGTTCATGGTTTGGATCACTGCTGATGTTTGGTTCAGAAGGACAGTGTTCTCCTCTAATTGTGGCAATGTTGTGAAGAATCACACATGCCACAATAATGTCACATGCCCTTTCTGGGGTGACCCTGAGTCTTTGCAGGCACTGGAACCGGGCCTTAAGCATTCCGATAGTCATTTCAATTCTGGCTCTTGTCCTGCAATTAGCCAGATTATATCGCTGCTGTGGGCCCGGTTCAGGGTCAGGGGTAAGCAAATAGGGTAAACATGGATACCCCCTATCACCAAGCAAGTAGCCAGTGAACTCTCCTAAGACAGAAGGATACACTTCAGTTCAAATGTCCCTGAAGCAATTGGTCTTTATATATTTTAAAGTATTCTCAACTCACCATGTCCAAATTTTGTGCTCAGTGTACATTCACGGAATATTTGTGAGTCATGGACAGAGCCTGGCCACTTGGCTTCCACATTTGTGATAATGTTGGCAGCATCATATATGATCTTCACAGTGCAGAGAACACAAATTAGCATCCATTACTATAATGAAATAATTTGTTAGTTTGAAATGCTACAGGGAACTATGTACCTGTACATTAATGCTGTGGAAAGACTTCCTGTTCACATAGTCTCCTTCATTTACTAAAGGAGCAATGATTGGAATGTGAGTGCCATCTATACAGCCAATCACGCCTGGGAACCCTGAAAATAAATGTGCAATTTAAGTAGTAGTCCAAGTATCACCACATCATAAATTAAGTTTTGGTCATCCTGATACCTGCAATTTTGTGGAATCCCTCTTTGATAAATCTTGTGGGTCTGTGACCGGGGAACACCACAGACGAGTACAGGAGACGTTTCAGTGCAACTGTAACATTCCTGACTGCCCGACAGACGGTAGCCTTGGAAACGTGCTCAGCGTCACCAATATTATACAGAAAGCTCCCGTTTGCAAGAAACCGAAGTGCAATACACATAATATGTACAGAACTGAGAGCATGTCCGCGATGTGTCACATGCGTAATATATGGCCTGAGGATGTTATCCAAATAACTTAAGAGATTGTGCTGAGAAACGGTAACGTTCGCACAGAAAATCATCAGGAAATGATAAAATGTCCAAACGCGCTCTAATCACTCTCTCCCGGCGGAGAGCTCTGCGGAGAATTTGGGCTTCACGATCTACTGGCTCTTCAAGGAAGGGACACGCCATGTCCGACACTTCCTACTGTCAGGTTTCCGACAAAGGGGCGGAGACAGTCATGGTTAGTTGTAGTAAACCTGCTAGGGGGCAGGTTAGCTTCACGGCGTGTGTCGTCATAGTGACTCACTCAGGCTTCAGCTGAACTCGCTTTGTGAAACTGAAAACCCAGAGTTTTCGTTAACTCAGGGTATACTTACTCAGTTTTTCCACTAAACCGGCTTCCTGAAACAGGGCTCAGGTCTGTTCATGTGTCTCTGCACAGCTGTAATTAAAATGTGTTCAGAGGGCCTCAGTGTCTGAATGGTTCCAGTTCAGCTCCATAACAGCAGCGTCCCTGGTTTGATTCCTGTGTTTCAGCTCATATCTGCCTCTCTCACTGAGGGACACACACACACACACACACACTGACACCTCACTGTCCTTGAACCAATAGAAAGCTGGTGCTCAGAGGAAGAGGGCGGGCTTTACTTGGTGTCAGTGACAGAAATGAAAAGAAGCTCAAATAAGTGAGAAGGACGATGAAGGAAACATCTGTGCTGTGTCTGCTCTGTAAGTAGAATCTCTGTGTTTGTTTGAATTCTTGTACTTTGACTGTCTGCTCTCCTGATAACTGATGATGGAGGAGAAGACATGAAAAACAAATCAGGCTGAATTCAAGTTCAAACACCACGAGGACCAACTGCAGGTCTGAACTGACTCTTTATCTTTGCTCAGGAGTCGAGGAAACACAGCAGGCAGTGAAAAGCTCAAATCATTCACTCATTATATCAACACAGCTGAGAGTCTGAAATACGACATTTAACATTTTCATCCATTTAGTCAACTATATACTATAACTGCCTTTAAAGTTTTTGTGCTGCACAAAGTGACCGTTACTGTTTGTGGTTGAGCCGTTTGTGGTTTAAACAGAAACTAAAGGAGCTCAATTTTTCTTTTTCTGGGGACAGAAAAAAGAAGTTGAAGGTGTTTCCTCACAGGGTTGTCAATCTTATAAGGGGAAGTAACATGTCTGTGACCACAGGCCATGACTCTAAAGCAGTTTGGTTAAAAACTATCTTTTAGTTAATTTAGACCAGTGATCACTGCTCCTTTTGACGGACTTCACTCATTTCTATGAATGGATTTGACTTCAGTGACACCGGATCAAAAACAGGAAAATGAAAAATCAGAAACTGTCTAAACATTTAATTTCTGTTTACAGATTGTTTATTCCTCTTTGACTAAAACTCCAACTTTCATAATGAAATCACATTTTCTCTTTTATTTTATAAAGAGAAAAATATTTCATTTTTCTTAAATGCAATTTTGTAATTTTACTCAGTTACTGTAACTGAGTACTTTTACTCTTTTTCTAGTCTATTCACTGACATCTTAATCCTGGGTTCTCCTGAGCTTGAACCTGAACGTCAGACCAACCATCGACTGCAGGAGACATGAGCCTCAGACCATCTCACCATCACTATCTTCATCATCATCATCATCATCAGGTGTGTCATTTTTAGTTACAGGAGCGCCGCGACGACGGCCATGTTTGAGCTGTAACTCTTTTCTGAGTTTATGTAACCAGACACTTGTTCACATACACGAGTCAGCTATAACTAAATAATATTGATAAAATAAGTTGCAGTTATTGTAGTTTCGCCTCTGCTCACCACCAGAGTAAGATTTCAGTCAAACAATCAAAGTGTAAGTGCAGACTTTCAGCATTTGGAGCTACAGCCATTTCCATACACAGTCTCCTGCAGAGGCTGAGGAGTAATGGGACGACTGACAGCAGCTTCATGACCAGGTGAGGATTGTTCCCTCAGCATCTATGAAGCAGCCATGATATCTGAAGCTGATTCAGTGTGTTTGCATTTTATAAAGTTTGACTGTAATTTTAAATGTAAGGCCCTCAGAGACGTCATCAGAAAAACAAAACAGTTTTAATGAAACTGCTGCCAGTCAGTCGTTCAGTTGCTTCATCCCCCCTGAGAACAGAGAACTGTATCAAAGCTGAAAGTCTGACCTGCATCACAGTGTTGCTGTATTAAAATCCACTGTGGTGCTGTACAGAGACATTTTACAAAAACATATGGACCTAATTGCATTTTCATGTCTTCGTATCAGGAACAGTTAACTGAAGACCATTTTTAAAATTAAATAAATATCACAAAGGTCCTGGGTTTGAGTCCTCCATCTGGTCAGGGCCTGTGTGGGTTCCTCCCACAGCCTGAATCACTAAGTGTGAACGGTAGCCCGTCTCTTTGCCCTGTGACTCGCTGGGTACCTCGTCTCTCGCCCGATGGCAGTGCCCCTGAATTAGGATCCCCAGCCTGTTATTTATTTATTTTAATTGAAAATGTGAATTATAGTGTTCTCTCAGTCATCAGAACCAAACAGAAGGATTTCATTTTTCAGAGTCATAAAATACTTATGATAAATTCAGCCTATGAAAACGTATCTTTTCCTATAAACATGTCCTCTGGGATCAAACTGTCATTAGAAGCAAGAATTCAGTCATATGTATATATTATTAATGCTGTTAGTCTTACTATTATTGTCCCTCTCTGTAGCCCACCTTTCAGACAATCGCTGGCATGAGAATCACGGATTGTCCTCAGCTACTTTGTCATGTCTCTGTCTACGTCGTGCCTGATTAGACTTATAGATGCAGGAGTCATCACACATAGCTGTATGCCATATGTCTTTGAGGATGATGTAGTAAGATGACTTAAAATGATATTAAAGTGTTTTAGGATGATAGTTTAGGGGATATTTGGTGTTTTAAAATAGGCAGTTTATATGTTTCAACTATTTGTGGATTGGCTACAGAGAAGGACTTAAGTGGGTCAGACTAGTCAAGCTCCTCTTTTTGTCAGTGTAAAGATGTTTTAACTAATCCCTGAGATATTTTAGTGTAAGAAAACAGAGCAGTTTCTTTTTTTTTGTCCCGTTTGGCTCTTTTGCCATCAGAATTATTGTCTAAAGGCGAAGAAAGATGCCCAATGGATTTACTTTACCAAACTGACCATCCCAGCCTTGCCATAATGGTCTATTTGATTCACCTTTTATTGTTTATTTTATTAAATTTTCACTTGCTACACACGGGACAGACATGACTGAGGGAAAGAAAAACAGCGAGGAAGAGGAATGGTGATAAAGGACAAAAACAAAAACAAACAGACAAAAAAATCCATATATCGATCACCTGGATCACCTGTCGAGCAAGAAATAAGAGAAACCAAGCAAAAAAAAAGCAACATAATAAACAACATCACAATGATATATGGGAATATAACAGTAAATACTAAATATTAAACATTATTGTGCAGCGCATAAGATCAACAGAACACAGTGTGCTTTCAGGTAGGAGCCAAAAAGGGTGTAGTTTGTGTGTGTGAGCACCTGTGTGTACACCTGTGAGCATGGACGCGCTTGTTTTTAAAAGGTTCCTTCATGCAATAATCTGCTAGAGGGTGTGGGGGGGCCACAGCCCCATCCTGCAGGGCATGAAGCAGGTATGGAGGAGATCAAGACTCCAGACATCCAGAGGCCCCCAGAACACAAGAGACCAAAGAAGACCCACAGAGGGGCAGCTGCGCCACTGTCCCGGAAAGAGCTGAGGAGAGTCCCAGATGAGGGCTCACCCAGCAGCCGCGGAGCAGAAGCCAGGGGGGGTTGCAGTGACGTGCCCGTGAGCTCCGTCGGCAGCCAGCTGTGCCAGAGTCACAAAGCTATACTCTAAGCCCCGGGTCTAGGTACCCTTACCCCTGGAGGGGGAAACTGCACCCAGACCCAGGTAGTGTTACCCTTTTCTCTGGGGTGGAGAGAAGCAGACCGCCCCAACTCGGCAGCAGCAGGGAGGCCCCACACTCCAGACCCCAGTCGGATGGCCAACTCCTCCTCCCAGCCCCCCCGCCCCAACAGGCAACAGAGAACGGGGGTGTGTGAAGACTCCAAACCTCCCTCCTCCCGCTCGTATGTAGTGTTGATGCATGTGTATTCTAAGGTGCATTTAAAATCCAGGAGGGCATGGAGCTACCTGCCAGAGAGCAGCAGGTAAGCACATAGCCCCTCCTGATAGCCCTCAGTGTCTATATGCACTTAAAATTGAGAGGTGGGCAACGACGCCAGGGGTGAGACCAGAAGTTTTGGTCTAAGTTAACCAGACAGAGAGCAATTTGAACAATACCTCTTAATTTTTTACTACATGATAAAGAAATTCTGTTGTGGTAAATGAAAGAAATGTGTCAGCATGATTTAAATTGTAAGAAATAAATGTTTAAAATTAAGGAAGAAGAGAAAGTTTCTGTCAACTCACAGAAGATATCCTGTTGGGTTTTTGTTTTAGTGTGAAAAACCAAAAATAAAAATTCCACGACACATTCTCTAGAACAGGAATCGTGGTGGAGCCTGTCAAAATAAAAGCCCCCGCACTGCTTCGTTTTGTGTTCCAGGGGAAATTTAAAGGCGTGGCATAAAATGATGATAACACGAAGCACTCAGCCCAGGCACGTGAACGCATGCGCATATGGATGCGCACTCACTGATCCACCGTATATGACATTACCGATTATTTTACATATAAATCCTTTATAAATATACATTTCGACTGCAGAATATTTACATTTATAAACATTTTTAGAGATACAAAAACAAAAACAAAAAAAAACAAAAACCACGCACTCAGGAACACCGGAAATACACGTATTTCCGTAACAACAGCATCGCTCAGTGGTCTCGTCTACGGGTTCCCTCCATTGTTAAAGTGGAATTATTGAATCCATAGAGTGTGTTGGTGTTTGGGATGTACCGGGAATGGCTTCACTAACACTCCCGTCTCTCTGCTGGGCTCAGCTGTTCCTCTTTGTCGTGGTTTTCGCTGAAGGTGAGCTCTCCTCCAGCTTCCACTTTCTCATCGGTTACACCACAACGGCAGTACGCGAACATTCCTGTTGTTTACTGTAAACAACTGTCACGTATTTAAAAATAAAATAAAATAGAAACATACAAGCTGCCTCAAGACACAGCGAAGCCTCTGAGGCCCGAGTTTCGTTCACATAAAGGACACAAACAAACAGAAAGCCTCCTGTCATAATCCCTTCACCCTGCCCGCCATGACAGACGTCACGAGGCGAAGGACGGAAGTGCAGGAGACTTGATAAGGAGTAGCTCAGCGAATCAGACTGATTAATAATTTTAATATAGAAGTGGATGAAACTACAAAACCCGAAAATGCACTTTGATCTGGTGGTTTGTTTTTCAGGAATCATGCGGCTGCATTTTCCTGTCTTTTCATTTCATTAAGGATGCTCCCAGTTTCTCCTCTGCTAAAGGAGACAATGAAGGAAGCATTATTCGCGAGCTCAGCAGAGTCAGGTGGTGTAGCTGGCAGGTAGACTGTTGTGCACGGAGGTCCAGTCCCAGTGCTGTATTCTCACCTTCTCACCCAGAACAACCTCTCCTTGCTTTCTCTGTCTCCCAGTTACCAGGTAAAATATCCTCTGTGGAAACCCAGCAAACATTTAAAAAAAATCTCAGATGTTAAGTCTTTAGTGTGATTTGGCGCATCTCAAATAAATGAATGAATAATCCAACAAGCAGCTATATTAATACTGAAACAAACAAGAAAAGAAGGTAAAAATATTCCCTCCAAACAAAACGTATAAATTCTGAAAAGGCAAATCAGTCTGTGCATGAACACATTGCTCCGCCCATCAAAAAGTCACCTATCCGGTCGTTAAGTCTGACGTCACTAGCCGTGTCTGGGCCTAAACTCCGCTGCAGGTCCATATATCAAGCGATCAGTATGGCATTACTGAGAGTTGAAAAACTGTCTAAAGTCTTTCATCTTTAATAAAATGATCAGTGTTCTGCTCTACCAGGTGTAACAATTGAGTTTAACATCCAGGCATCCATGAAAACGGAATTTATGACATTTAACGGAGTTAGAAGTTAGCAGGGAGTTAGCTCGCTAGCTTCTATCTAAATACAATATAGCATGTCCCTGACTGCGGGGTTTTGGAAACAAATGAAAACGTACAGCACTGCTATCACTTCCAACATAAATGAAGACAGAAAACTAAACAGCAGTGACGTTTGTAGGGTTACTGAAGTTGGGCTAGCTGGTATATAATGATGTGCTACGTGACCGCTAGCGACACAGCTATGTTAGCATAATATAAACAAGCTAACTTTTTTTCCACTCGATAAAAGTTAATGTGAGTGTTCTCGGTGGTCATGAACAAATGTAATCGCATGGCAGGATGCTGTAAAAGGACCAAACTTCAGCCAGGAGAACAACTGAGATAATCCATCCACAGTACGAGGTTAGTCATTCATATACTGCTGCATGGGCTGGGCTGTAGTTACATCCTAAGGTTTTAAAAACTGAGCTTAAATAAATGATTAGCGGTAATAAAAGCCGAGGGAGGTCAACAGTGATCACTGACTGTTTTAGGAGCTTTTTGAGATTAAATAGAAGAAAATACAAAACATTAAACATGTTAACAACACAAAAGCCATATTAAACGCAGACTACTTTAGACCCGGAAGTAGGATTCGTCGCGTCATCACTTAACGACCGGATTGTCATTAGGGATGGGTATCGTTTAGGTTTTATCCGATACCAGTACCAAACCGGTACTTTTGAAACGGTGCCGGTGCTTAAACGGTGCTCGAACCGGTGCTTAACCCTTTAAGACCTACCATAGAACCAAATCCGCCAGAGCTTATATTATATTTTTACCTGCTGTGGAGCCATTTTTTGCAGCATTTCAAGTTGCTATACATCAATACAACCATTATAGCCCAAATTTTAATAATATGTCTGCATTAAGTGCATAGTAATTACATAAATTGCAAAAAAGTGCAATAAACTACAAAAAATTTAAAATCGTTTTGGATTTTTTAACATATATTTCTAGTTAGAGAAATTTAAGAGGCTTATCCCTCAAAACTGTAAATACAAAAAAGTTGCACAAACTAGTTTCCCACCAAAGGAAATTTATTTTGAGTGTCTTCATAGTTTTATTTTTGAGATACACCAATTTTCATATACTACAGGAAAAACGAAAAAATATATTGTAGTGCAAATTTGCAAAATAACAGCATATGCATCAAAATAAAATATTTCCAGCAGTGCAATATGAGTCCTAAGCATCCCAGAAACGACATAAAGTCATAAACTCAAACATAACTTTTATAAACACAAGTATAGGCTCATGAGGCCCCGATGGTAAAAAAAACTAGATTTCCGCAAAATGACGACACTTCCGGTTTCGGGCAGGTCATGCGGTCATGTGATAGTTCGCGCTGATGGACGTTGGAAGTGTTATGAACAGCTGATCGGATTGGCAAAGCGTGTTTCTAGAATATTATGTTTTTGTTGCTACAAGCGCTTTTTATGCGCTTATATAATTTTTGCAAAGTTATATGTGGAAGGAAACTGTGACCGAGGACAAGCTGATGGCATAAGATGTAAGTACAACTCCTCCGGTTTCATATGCAAAAAGAATTATTGCGCTATCTCACATGGTTGCAGTGCTACCGGGATTTAAAAATAGTTACGCAAAATGGAGCGTGTCCGCTCTGACCGTCTCTAATTAAACAGGGCTCGCAAAATCGCTAGCTCCGGGACGGAGCTAGCGATTTTGCCAGTCGGGCTACCAAAATATCTCTCTGCCCTGCCCGTCAGCCTATCGTAGGAAGGAAAAATATATGTCAATGCTTTTGCATTCTTTCGGAAATGTAGCTGGGTAATTATATCATTGGCATCAGTGAGCCACTGTCAATATTTGACATATTGAAATTGCGTTTGAATTTGCGCTTGTTTTTTTGCTTTCACTTTGCAATCGCGCGAAGTGTGTATAGAGAGCGACAGCACTGATCTGTGAGTGATGATAATTTGCGCACCAATTCCTCTGACATCGTCTTATCAATCGTTAGCTTACTATGCAAACATGACAAGTGAAATCTCCCGCAGCTTAAACATGTGAGAGGCTGATCGCGCAGAGAATCGCTGAGCGTTATGTGAGTGCGTGTGTAAAAGCAGCAGGATATATATTTTAGTTCTGCTGAGCCAAATAAGACAGGTCAGGGTGAAGAAGTGACAGCCAAAGAAAAGTTTACCGCAAAACAGAAAAGTTATGACAAATCAGACTATAAGGCAAAAAGAAAGTGCAGCTTTATGGGTTCATGGACAAAAGAATTTCTGTGGCTGCGATATGACGAGCTAAATAACCAGGGCTGCACATAAGTGGTCCGCAGGTGCGCATTCGCTGTCAAAATAAAAAACGCGCACAAGATGAGAAGTTGCAACGCGTGTTTGCATACATAAGATTTTCTGGAGGAGGACAGACATTTGTTTATAACTTTTAAGATGTCGAAGAAGCAAGGTCCTTTAAGCAATTACTTTAGTGTTCCTCCACGGCAGAAGAAATGTCAGAAGGGGTCCGAACCACAAAAGAAGCACGTATTCTCGGAAAAGTAGTTGCAGGAGGTGAGCTGGCTTCAAGCAAATGATGAACGCACAGATGTGGTGCAGAATGTGCCGTGAAAATCTAGCGGACAAAAACAGTGCTTTTTATATGGACGCAAAAGCGCGTTGCAACTTCTTATGTGGTGCGCGTCTTTTATTTTGACCGCGAATGCGCACATGCGGACCACTTATGTGCACCCGTGTAAATAACATAATGTTCTGCCAGGTGTGTTGTTGGTTTTCCTTCGATTTCTGAGTGGACAAGCGCCTTTGTTACTGGGACCAGTCATTTTAAGAAAGGCCCCCATTAGAACCCATGAGAAATGCAAGAAATGCATTATTGCTCAGTCTGCAATATCTTTCCCAGAACAAACACCAATTGCAAATAACATACTAAAAATAATGTTCTTCACAGTTCTTACAAATTCATAGAAAATTCTGTTCAATTAGAACCAAGTATTTGAGTTGATGATTGTCATTTTTGTACAATGTTGTAATTTGTTTTTCAACAATTTTTTGATTAATGTTTTGTTTCCTTTACAATATTATACTTTAATGAATAATATTGTAAAGGAAACAAAACATCAATCAAAAAATTGCTCTCTTTTTTATTTGGGCTACTTAAATTTATTTTGGGCTACCAAAAATTGAAGAGTCCCTGCCTGAAGGGTTACCAGGGATTTTGAAATTTCGCGAGCCCTGTTAAAGAATGAAGAACACAAACTTTGTCCAAAAACCTCTCGTGTTCAGCTGTTTTTTTGTAAAAAGATAACAATGTTAGCCTTTTCTGCAGCTATGGGGGATTTATGGCATCACTCTTGGCTGGAAGCAGTGCTTAAACAATGGAAAAACACACAAACTTTGTCCAAAAACCTCTCATGTTTAGCTGTTTTCCACTTTTTCTTTGGTCATTTTAGCCTTTTTGGCCAGGGTGAAGGGAGTATCTGTCATCAAACAAGAAGACAGCTGCATGTAACTACGACGGTGTTTGCTAGTTCACCTTACATGCATTAATAACGTGGTTAGCCTACTCAACGTAAATTACACATGAACAACATTAAGCTACTCGCGCAGAGAAGAACGGCTGGGGCAGGGCTAGGGGCCAGGACTTTCCTCTTCGTGTTTTTGGGGGATGTTGCTCCGGGTCCGATAACAGGCACCACACCCGCAGTAGATGTGCACGGTGTGAGGTCTCGCAGCAAGCTATGAACTACGGTGCATTTCTCGGCTTTTAAAAAAACGCTATACCAGGTGTTTCATCAGATTCGAGGAGTTGCCTTCTTTGCACAGTACCAGCTTAAAGCACTTGTTGCAGGCTGCTGAGTTTGCATCTTTTGCTGTGAAGTACAGCCAGAATTTGACCGCTTTGCTTTGGGCATTTTTAATCTGTAGCTCTGCTCTAAAAGAACATACGTAAAAGAGCCTACGTACCTGGGCCCGCCTACTACGCCCGCAAAGGTAAAATGATTGGCTAGAATCCAAAGTGTATGACATCTCAGGGAAAAAAAAATCACTGAAATAAAGCACCGAAATGTGCGCTGCTTTTCGGTCTGGTTACTACGGTTTATGTCAGAACAGGTGCCATAATGGCACCGGTACCCATCCCTAATTGTCATTTATTGGATTGACGAATGTCGGTTGGAAAATTTTCACTTAGTGCCCAACTGTAAGGTCAAGTGTCCTCTGTTCTACTTCCACCTCCACAGCAGCCACAGGTGATCAATACCCACTCCTTTCTGTTTTTCCCCATACACACAAATAAATCAGGTCCATCCTCTGTGCTTTCTAGTGATCTTCTTCACTGAGAACTGAAACTTCACCCAGCTGCCCACATCTACTTATTTCTTCCTGTTTCCCAAAGAGCCAGATCATCAGATTCTCAAGTGTCTTAAAAAATGTCTTTAATATCTATCATTTAATACTTATTATGCAACTAACTGCATGTCTCTGGACTGTGGGAGGAAGTCAGACTACCAAGAGAAAACTGAAAACTGCTTGTATATAACAGGAGTCTGATCTGACTCACAGCTTCAAAGGTTTGGCGACTTTCTTCTAAAATAAAGTACAAGAAGTTTTGGGGGTTGTTTTTCCTCTTATCTGTTTCAGCAGAGTTCACTGGTCTCTCTCTGATTAGCTGATGTAGAAGTGAACAGTTGTACTTTGACCTTTAACCTCTCTGCTCTGTGTTGTTTCCTGTTTCAGCCCAGAACACCATCACAGCTGAGCCTGGACAGGATGTAGTTCTACCATGTCGAATTCCGACAGGCAAAATCATCCAAGGTATGAAGTGGAACAGAGCTGACCTGGATGAATATGTGCTTTTTTTCCGGGATGAGCGGCTGGATCCAGATGGCCAACATCTGTTTTTTAAGAACCGGGTGGATCTGCAGGACAGGAAGATGAAGGATGGAAACGTGTCTCTGGTTCTGAAGAATGTGACGACTGCTGATGATGGATCATACAGTTGTAATATCTTCAACAAAGAGACAAAATCATGGGAGAGCATCAACACTGTCAGCCTGACTGTTTCAGGTGAGTGAGTAGAGTTGAGTGTGTGTGTGATCAGAGGTGAAGCTGCTTCCTGGTTGTTGATGTTTGTTTCTAAAGATGTTGTTGATGAGACTTTGTAGAAAGCAGCTGGTCTGAGTGATGTGATCAGAGTGCAGTAGATAATGTCTGACAGCAGTTTGAAGAGGAAATGGATTCTGTTCTGTTCTTCACTCATCACCTACCTGACAGCTCACACCTGTTTCTCACCTGCAGGTCAACCAGGAGGACACACAGAGGATGGATCTGTTGGACTGATCGTTGGTCTGAGTGTTTCTGCTGTGCTTCTTCTTGCTGCTGTTGTTGGTTTTTTGTGCTACAGAAAACGTAAACAACAACAGAGTCAGGATTCATACTAGCCTCCTGTTGAAACGCAGCCTGTTTGAAACGTCTCAGTTTGTTTTTTTACAGCTGAACTCCTGCTGATCCAGACTCTCAGTAGGGTTATTCTTAGCGTTGTTTTTGTTGCTGCTGTTGTTGGTTTTTTGATCTACAGGAAACATGAACGAAAGGAGCGGGGTGTTAACTAGCATCCTGATGAACAGCAGGTTTCAAATGTCTCTACGGTTTAGTACGTGTAAACTAACAAAACACTAAACTTACAAAACAACACTGGTTTAAAAACTAAATGTTTAATTTATTCCTGGGTCACACTACATGACATCACTACAGAGTGCAGACAAATGATTTACCCGAATCGCTATAATTGAGAGAAATCCGGGAAAAAAATATTAGGACATAATAAGTGACAAGTTTCACCTGCTCTATTTGTACTTCAAAGGCCTCTAACACCTGAAATCTTTTATTGTATGAAGGTAAAATATTGTGTAGCTTCAATGTTCATCATCTATCCAGATCTATCACAATGACATGGAACCGCCCACCATATTATAAAGCCTTTCCATTTAATGTATTTAAAAGGTGGAGGTGTTGCTCTTCCATCACTGTCACTGGCAGGTCTGAATGAATACTGACCTTAAAGGTGAAGGTGAACCCTGTTTGAATGACAGCATGTTGTTTACCAGTTCATTGATATTAGTGAATGACTCTGGGTCAGAGATGTCAAACTGCTTTTACATCGTGGGCCACATTAAACTCTTTCTGTCCATGTAAAGTGGTTTAAGTGCACCTTCAGTCTGACATATCTCTGTGTAGGAAGGAGAAGTGCAACTTTACCAGCACCTCTGAGCTTTCTCTAATACATTTCTGTACCAGATGGTGAAAAAAACTGGAACTTTCTGGAACTTATCAGCCTGTTTATTGTTTATTTACTTTGGTGTCGTATGAATCACCTTTGATGAGGTCGTCAGCTGTAAAGGAATATGCTTTTTCCCCAATAGCAGCTTATTTTATTATTTATTCATTATCATAGAAAATGATAGCAGGTTATGATATGGATGAGTTACTCAGAGAATTGAATTTGTAATCTCTGACCTTTTGTGAAGCTTTTCAGCTTAAAATGTCAGAACGACCAGACACAAACCCACGGCGTACAGGAAACTTTACTACACTACATAAGGAGCAGAAGACGCTAAAATACTAAATAAAAACGAAAACATTTTCATGCTATAACATAAAAACTGACCTCGCGCATGTCAGCTGATCCTTTTGTCATTTTTAGTTTGTCATAGAGACAAAAAGTGACGGAGCATTTAGAGCAGAACATCCTAAGAGGAAGTTCGACTCTGTGGTTTTACAGTTACGCTGTGTGCAACTGTGAATAGTTCAAAGCAAAGGAGGAGTGATGCCAGTGTAGCTTAGAAAACAGTCGACAGCCAGGATCACAAACACTACACAGTTTCTGATTCTTTTCCTGTAAGTAACTCGTTAATGTAACTCTCCTTTCTAGATAACAATTTGATGTCAAACATGACTCGTGTGTGCAAATTAAAGGCTTTTCAATCTATTTTCTATTCATCCGTCCGTCTAGTGGCTCTAAGCACTCGCTGCAGTTGTTCGTAACTTCATCAGTGATGATGGTGAAACGACAGGGAGCCAACAAATGACATAAAATGTGACTAAATAAAGGGACCAGTGAGGAAGCGTCAGTACAACAAAAAGATGCAGAAAACAAAACGATGGAGTAAAAAAAAACAAGGTTAAAAGGAAAACACAGGAAATCTGGTACTGATGTATTTTGTTCTTTTGGGGTCAGGAAATGACACTAAACATATTTACTTTGCACACAGGAACATGTGAGATATGGAAAATGTTCAAAACAAAGTTTTGACTCGTATTTGTTGATTGATTTATGACCAGCTGCTGCAGTTTGGAGCATGAATGTGATTCTTTGTTTATTTGCGCTTGAATGTTCACTTGTTAATGCTTGTTTGCAACGTTCTGCACTACAGGAATAAAAATAAAGTTTAAAAATCATCACTTACTTGTTTGTTTCTCTTCCTGTGGCGTTTGTGTCTCATGAGCACAGAGTTTCTTTGTTAGCAGGATTCATGCCGGCTTTCTTCTCTGTAGAATAGAAATTTCAAACAAAACTTCTTCGACTTCCAAGCTGCTCAGAAAAATAAAGAGTGTGCAGCTCCACACTGGGAGCATGGTTCATTACCTAGTAAGGCTATTTTCGGAAGATTTGATTGGTCAGTGGGGGGTGATTGCAAACCTGCGCATCATAAGTTACCATGGTAATGTACCCAGGTAAGGAGTGAACCCCCTTTGTAGTAAACCCCAAAGTTAACCCTGAAGTTATCCGAATAAGCCAAAATCCTGCCTCACAGCACAGACCTGTGACAAGAACGTTGTTTTTTCTTATTCTGTCGACAGTGATGTCATTGGAAGGCGGCGTTAAACTAATCGAAAGTACGCCGATGAGTCAGCATGTGTCCGTTAGTTTTCTCCGTTTATACCTGCACCATAATGTCTCTGCGTGCCTCTGTTGTTTGTCTGTGTCGTGGATTTGGCCTCTTCAGGTGAGCTCTGTCCTATTATTTCAACTCAGTAATCAGAAAGCTTCGCTTACCTTTTCTAATAAGGTTACCCTGACCGCTGTGGAACAAATTTGGGCTCAAATCGCCCCATAATATACTTTATATTCTTAATTCAGGAAGGAAGTACAGATGTGATGTCTGTGTGGATCAGCAGCCTTTACCTGTTTTTACTTCTGTGACATCTGAGTGGACTAAGCCATCTCGCGTGGTTTGTAGTGACGCATGTCATGTTCTGCCATGTCCCACTTGTTCCTGATGAAGTTTGTTTGCCAGGATGATTCATCAGGAGCTCAGCTCAGATAAAGCAAATAGGAGTAAATCGTAAAAACTGCAGTGAATTCTGATGTTCACTTCAATCATCTTCATCTAATCTTAATTTAGAGAGATTCTGTGTGCAGCAACAATCATAACAGCAGCAAACAGCTGTATTTATCTTTAACCTCTGACAGAAGTTCTGAACATAGAAATACATCAGAGTAAAATTTATATTACAAATTAATAAAATTACAACACTAAATAAAAGCATCAGCATCATTAGATCAAATTAAACACGGGTTAAAAAAAATTAAGTAAATAAACAAAATAAACATCTCAAACTGTCTCGGATGCCAAGCAGAAGAGCTCAGTCTTAATGACAAAGTGTAAAAAGGTCTGTAGCGTGAAACAGTTTCCACAGTTTGGGAGCCGCTACAGCAAAAGCCCCGTCCTCACATGCTACATTTTATTTATACATAACTCTTAAAAAGGGTTTACTGAGTGGTTTGACAGGCTAAAGCTGAAGATTTACACAGAGAACCGAACATTCAAATCACAAGAAAAGAAAAAAAGAATATACAAGAAAACACCTGAAAGTAAAACATGTCAGATGTAACCTCATCAAATGAAAACAATCCATTAGAAATTAGTTTTAAAGCTGATTTAAAGGAGGCCACTGACTCTGAGCCTGATCTGCTCAGGCGGGACCCTTCACTGTTATTGAATCCCCGAGGAAATTAATGATGGGTCACCAGGTTGCTCCAAGACTATAATATATTGTATTATTTAATTTATCTTTGTTAATTTCTCTTCTTACTAAGTTATTAATATAACAAATTTGTGTCTAATTATAAATGTACACGCAAATATGTAGAAATGAAAAACTGTCTAAAACCCACAAGTTGAGAGAAAGGTATTAAAAATGAACTAACATACAATAATAATAAAAATGTCCTTTGTTTGTTTTCCATGAAAACGTCTTTAAGACAAATTAACAGTTGGTTTAAATAATAATGGCTTGCATGCCCTGGGACAGACTGACAGAGGCGAGGCTGCCATATTGCACCATCGGCCCCTCTGGCCATCACCAGTAGGTGAAGAGTCTTGACCACGGACGCAATACTGAGAGTGTCCGAGGTACCGAGGCCTCTTTCTGTTCAGGAATGTTGTGAATACTTTGAGATTCATATTAATTGCAATTCCTATCTCTACGTTTATTTTTTAAAATATATAATTGTGCAAAGTTTTATGTTTTCTTTTAGTTTTTATTCCTATTAATTCTATTTTCACTTGTTACCTCTGAATTATTGAATCAGACCTACATGACATTTTCAGCACAATTATAATTCAAATACTCCTTTAATTATTGATTATTCTCATTAATTTTTGATCATTTTATATATTTTTCCATAGTTTTACATTTGGATTTAACAGACCATTCTCTCACATAACAGACAAATATTCGTGAAATTATGATGCATTTCTGGATGAATTTTTACATCTAAATATGCATATGTACAAAAATATATATTTAAAAAACAAGTAAATTGTGTTTTACTATATTTACAGTGATGTTATGTTATTTTACCTTTGACGTGTTAAATCACAGTCTACTTATGTAAATTTCATGATATTCTAGAAAGACAGAACAAAACTGAAATATACAGTAAGATACTTTGACATTACTATTTTTTTGGAACAGGTGGTAACTGAAAAAGGACCTCTGAGTGTTTTCATATAAAGATTTGTGAGTGGCAGCAGTTTCATGTCTGTTATCAGCTGTTCTGTCTGCAGTG